TACTTGTAGAATACTTCTAAAGGAAGAAATGAGTAAATTAAGAATAATTCCTCTATTTAGAAGAAGTAAAAACTAGTAGAAGTACAAAGAGAAGAAAGTAGGCCAGGCCTACAGAAGAAAAGGGTGACTTGGAAACCAGCTTGAGATAGACATGTCCCTAGGGTTTACAATGGCAAGAGACTTTAGGTCCAGAAACAGGAGGAAAAAAACAAACACAGGAGCCAATAGTTCTTATCTTTCTGTTTTGGATTCCGTACTTTTTTGCCTTTTTTTTAAAAAAAGATAATTTTAGATTTACAGCTGAGTTGCAAAAATAGTACACAGTTCCCATATGCCCTATATTCAGCTTCCCCTTATGTTAACATGTTATACAACCATAGGGAGTCATCAAAGCTAAGAAATTGACATCGGTACAAGTACAGACTTTATTCAGATTTTACGAGTTTTTCCACCAATGTCCTTTTTGTTTCAGGTTCCCATACCATTTAGTTGTCATGTCTCCTTAGTTCCCTCTATTCTCTGACAGTTCCTCGACTTTTTCATCTTTCAAAACCTTGACACCTTTTTTTTAAATGAAACCATTGTTTACAAAAAACCTTGACACTTTTGAAGAATATTGGTCAGTTATCTTGTAGACTATCCCTCAATTTGGGTTTCTTTGATGTTTCCTCGTTAGATTGAAGTTTGACATTACCAGGAAGAACACCAAGGTGATGTGTCCTCTTAATGCATCATATCAGGGGTATATAATGTCAATATACTGTATATTATTAGTGATGTTTTGATCACTTGGTTAACATGGTGTCTTCCAGAATTCTCCATTGTAAGTTTACTGTTTTTGTTTAAATATTTCGAGGAAGATACTTTGTCACTAACATTTTGATGGGCAGAATTCACCAGACAGAAAATATATTTCACTGGAAAAGGGAAACTTATTCTATGGGAAGTATGTAAACTGTATTTGGCTAAAGGGTCTATAAAGGCATAAACAAATGCCAGATAATGCTTTGAAATTCTATAGGCCTATTGCAACCTCTGCCTCCCAGGTTCCAGTGACTCTCCAGCCTCAGCCTCACAAGTAGCTGGAATTTTTTTTTTTTTTGAGAGGCAGTCTTGCTCTGTCACCCAGGCTGGAGCACAGCGTGCCATCTTGGCTCACTGCAACCTCTGCCTCCTGGATGCAAGCAATTCTCCTGCCTCAGCCTCCCAAGTAGGTGGAGCTACAGGCATGTGCCACCATGTCCAGCTAATTTTTTGTATTTTTAGCAGGGACGGGGTTTCGCTGTGTTAGCCAGGATGGTCTCGATATCCTGACCTCATGATCCACCCACCTCAGCCTCCCAAAGTGCTGGGATTACAGGCATGAGCTACCGTGTCCGGCCCTCGAGTAGCGGAGTTATAGGCACGCATCACCACACCCAGTTAAATTTGTATTTTTATTAGAGATGGGGTTTTGCCATGTTGGCCAGACTGGTCTTGAACTCCCGACCTCAAGTGATCCTCCCACCTTGGCCTCCCAAAGTGCTGGGATTACTGGCATGAGCCACTGTACCTAGTCTCCTGCAAATTTTTTTTTTTTAAGGTTCAGGAAACAGATCTTTCGTCAGTAACCTCTATGAATATTCAGTTAAGATAAGGAGAAGCCTGAAGATTCCAAATTCCTGTCATCACAAACTAATCTCACTGGAAAAAAGGTCTTTGCTAACAACCAACTGAACATCACTCTGGGATGCTCTGGTACAAGGATCCCATTCTTATGCTGATATAATAAGTAAAACCACATAATGGTATAAGGAGCATCAGAGAAATGAAATAAGAAATGGTCAGCTTTAGTGAGGAAACGAAATATGGAAAAGGATTTGGATGGTTAAAAAATAAGAGTGTCTGGCTGGGTGTGGTGGCTCATGCCTGTAACCCCAGCAGTTTGGGAGGCTGAGGCAGGAGGATCACTTGAGGGTAGGAGTTTGAGACCAGCCTGGCCAACATGGTGTAACTAGTCTCTACTGAAAATACAAAAATTAGCTGGGTATGGCTGGTCATGGTGGCTCGGGCCTGTAATCCCAGTACTTTGGGAGGCCAAGTTAGGCAGATCATCTGGGTCATGAGTTTGAGACCACCCTGGCTAACATGGGGAAACCCGTTTCTACTAAAAATACAAAAAATTAGCCGGGGCATGGTGGCAAGACAGGGTCTCACTCTTCTATCACTGGGGCTAGAGTACAGTGGCACGATCACAGCTCACTGCAACCTTTAACTCCTGGGCACAAGTGATCCTCCCACCTCAGCCTCCTGAATAGCTGGGGCTATAGGTACACGCCACCATGCCCAGTTAATTGCAAAAAAAAAAAAAGATATACTGACCCTGTAGTTTCAAGGGCATTTGGGAACTGCTCACATATAACCCCGCCTAAATAAACCATATTTATAAATCTGTGTTGCCTCATCTCTCAATACTTAGATATAACTTTACATAAAGGACCCAGGACTGGGAGATGGAGAGCACATTGTCATGCTGTGTTCCAGGGCTTGGCCTGTACCATCAGTAGTAGCAGCAGCTCTCCCTTCCTCTTGTTGCCAAAAAGGGTCAAAAGAATCTACTGAGGGGGTAGGATGCAGAATCAATACATTATAATCTCCATGTCATTATTTATTTTGTTTATTTATTTATTTATTTTGGACACAGGGTCTGGTTCCGTCACCAAGGCTGGAGTGCAGTGGCGCAATCTGGGTTCACTGCAACCTCCACCTCCTGGGCTCAAGCCATCCTCTCACCTCAGCCTCCAGAGTAGCTGGAACTACAGGGGCGTGCCACCATGCCCTGCTAATTTTTGTATTTTTTGTAGAGAGAGGGTTTCACTATGTCGCCCAGACTGGTCTTGACCTCCTGGGCTCAAGCGATCTGCTTGCCTTGACCTCCCAAAGTGCTGGGATTACAGGCGTGAGCCACTGCATCTAGCCTCCATGTCACTCTAATGTCTTACACTATTCACCACCTTCTTTTTTTTTTGAGACAGAGTCTTGCTGTGTTACCCAGGCTGGAGTGCAGTGGCATAATCTTGGCTCACTGCAACTTCTCCCTCCTGAGTTCAAGCGAGCACGTCTGGCTAATTTTTGTATTTTTAGTAGAGACGGGGTTTCATCACATTGGCCAGGTTGGTCTCAAACTCCTGACCTCCAGTGATCCACCTGCCTCAGCCTCCCAAAGTGCTCGGATTACAGGCGTGAGCCACTACACCCAGCTGTTCACCATCTTCTTACTTTGTTCATAGCCTTAGTCCAAAGCCCAAGCCCTAACTCACTTGCTACTCTCCCTCAACACCTGTTGCAGGATCCATTAGTATCTGTGGCTTACAGTCAAAGAAGCCTCTGTTTCTACTGCTGCAAAGGCAAGAGGAAAACTAATGGAGGTATGTTCTTCTGCCCTAAATTAAAACACGAACTACATTTGCTCACTTAAAAAGCAATTTATACACAGACACACATACACGCACATATAATTGGGGTTAGGATTGGTACTATCTGATTCAAAAGTTAAACAGAATTTGATAGGCTAGTCTGAGAATATTGTCACTACAGGGAAACATTCAAAGCAATAAATGTACTTTGAAAGGATATGTCCAAAAGTTTTCATCATCTATAACAAAATCATTGTCAAATACTACTTACATTCTTTAGAAAAAAGCCTCTTTCTTTTACCCTGTCCACCTTCTGCACCTCCTCCAATTTCTTCATTTTCTTCCTCAAACTAGAAAATGTATATATAGAAATGTCAAATAATTGCCTTGCATTTGATATTTTAATAATAACAATGTTTTTTCCTTTTCAACAGATAGGCCAGAAAGCCTAAAGGAAGCAGAAAAAAAAAACAACAAAAAAAAAACACACACACAAAACCTTAGCACGGAAGGAGCCTAGGTATCGAGTACAATTTCCAACTCATCCAAAAATGGCTTCTACAATGTTCCTAACAAATAATCCTACTGCTTCTACGTGTAAGAGTTACAATGACCATAGGTTTTATTTTTAAACAACTAAGGTGGCCTATTGCTACTGTTAAACAGTTGATACTGAATCAAAGTCTACCTTTGTAGACTTTCAATTAAGCAAAACTAATATTTACTAAGCATTTGCTTATACAGTGCTAAAAACGTTCCTTAAGTAAGCCCGTAACCCTATTTTGTAACAAGAAAACTGATTGTCAAAGTTAAATAACTTGCTTAGAGAGAATGGAGATTTTGAAATCCAGGCTGTCTGACTTTCAATGCATTCTTTTCCCATTACTTCACAGTAAGTACAGTTTTGTTAACAATTGAACTGTTGGTTCATAGTGAGCGCTAATAGATGTTAGTTTTGACCTCTGATGATTCTGTACGTGTTTCAGTGTCTGGCAAATACAGACCAAAATCAAGGGGAAAGGGGTCACAAAACCTACTCTTCCTTCATGTCCTTCCCCACTTTCTAAAATGATCAATCCTTAGGGAGTGAAGTCCCCGAATTCTGTCGGCTGAATTGACTAAGGCAAGCAGATCCGATCCTGAACTCTGCCTCCGCTACTGAGCCCGAAGGAGTGAAGAAAAG